GCTACGAAAAGACATGTGACATGCTGTAAATACTGCAAGCTTTAGGTCTCGCTCTTTCTCTTCTTTTTGAAAACTGATGTTACACATAGTGGGTATTTTTTTTGCGTGCTGCATAAACTAAGCATGTTCTTTATATGCGCAGCTGTTTGACTGTGTTTCTTCAGATCACCTGGGTGTGCTCTGTAATCTTTTTTGCATACTTTGCAATAAGCTTGCTTGATTAGATCTTTACTTTTACAGAGCCAACCTGAAAAGACCTCAATAAATTTAGCTAAATTTTTCACTTACTTAGATTTTGTACGTGAATTTTTTTTTTCATAATACAGGAATTCAAAAGTCCCAAAACATGTTTTGTAGTGAAAAAAAAATAATAATAATAAAAATCATTTTGAAAGTTGAATATCGTATATGTATTATCCTTAACTTAACCTCAACAATACAAATATACAATCAGTTTATTGATAATATTTGTTTGCAAGCTCTTGAAATGAGATATTTAAACAAAAAAAAAAACAAAAAACCAAAGCATTGATAAATTAACACATTCCATCCTAAAGCAGGCAGTTTAACCGGAGTAAAAACCGAGCAAGTTACCTTCACCCCAACTCTCTTTCTCCCATGCCGGAACGTATAAGTACAGCCGTGGTTTATTCTTTGCATCTAAAAAACCTGTGAGGTTTTGATAAGAACATAATTTTTTATGTATTTTATTTAAATACTTATCACTACTTAAACGTAAACTGTGAAAACCTTTATAATCGATTGCTGGTACTTAAAAACTGACTATATATATGGCTAAACTCTGGAAAATCTTGTATATAACTTCGGTATACGGACATACGGTACGAATGTAGCTTGTAGACAAGAAGTAACAAGTACAGTCCCCTCTATTTTACTATAGATAGTCATAGTCCTTTGGTCATCTTACATAATTATGACGTATTGACGTTAACCAGTAAACGTAAGCATATTATTCCTCGTTCCTTACTTCATACTGTAGATGGCAGCGGGCATACCCAAGTGCACAGAATCTACCGTACCGACAAGTACTCAAGAGTCATCCCTATCCCAAGATGATTGTGGGGAAAACTTTGAGTAAAGGCCTGGCCTCAAAGTAAATAAAAATTATAGAGCTGTTTACATAGACATTTTTTGCTTATTTCATTGTGAACGTTCATATTGAAAAGGGGGTTCCACTGTTCCGCTAAACTCAAATTGAGTGAACAGACTGAACAGACCTATACCTCTTTTTCCATCAGGCAACAAAACCTATACCTATGGTCGCAACTATGTTGACTGACAGAGAACACAGTATAGGTCTGTTCAGTCTGTTCACTCAATTTGAGTTTAGCGGAACAGTGGAACCCCCTTTTCAATACGAACGTTCACAATGAAATAAGCAAAAAATGTCTATGTGAATAGCTCCTATGTTCATATATTTGCTTAATTTACTAAAATCGCCAAAAAAATCGCCAGGCACCAAATGTAAAAATTTTGTCGCCAGGGTTGGTCGAAAATCGCCAATCTGGCGATAAATCGCCGGATCTGGTCACCCTGACTGTCACACCCACTTTAACAGTACAACGATATAGAAGTAAAGTACGTTTACACTCCCACTTATAGCTCCCAAAGCACACACACACACATAGTGACATACATTATCACGCTCTCATGCAACATAAAATTAATTGCCAATTATAACACGCCCCCTCAATTAATTTTTTTTGAATAAACTACAACATGAGGAATATATAAACATAACAGTTATAAAAACGTTCTTTCAACAGCTATAACTATAAAAAATTTTAACTTAAATATAGAAGTCCTTTCTTAAAAAAAAACTTAATGCATAAGTTATTCGTACACTTAAATTAGTCTAATGGCACTACACTGAATTAAATTTATTTCACTGTTGAATTTCTTGAGTCTATCACCATTTACAGGTTTAGTGAGAGGATCTGCTAACATTTGAGTTGATGGTAAGAATTCGATTGAGATCTCCTTGGAATCCAGCTTCTCCTTCAAAAAATAATGACGGGTATTTATATGCTTTGTCCTAGGACTAACTTTAACATTTGTAGCCAAATCAATCGCCCCTTTGTTATCGCACTTGATTACTACAGGTAAATTTGATTGAATACACAGTTCACCGCACAGGTTTCTTAACCATGTGACTTCTTGTGCGGCTGATGACATTGCTAGGTACTCCGCTTCGGTGCTCGATAAAGCGACAGTGTGTTGCCTGCGTCAATTCCAGCTTATTGCGCCTCCTTGCATTTTAAAGATGTAACCAGATGTGGATCTCGGGTCTGCGGGCTCAGAAGCCCAGCTTGCATCACAATATCCTACTAAAGTTAAGTCCGCATTCCTAAAAAACAGCAAGGAATAATTAAAAGTACCTCGCAGATACCTAAGCACTCTTTTGACAGCATTCCAATGGTTTTGGTCGTTGAATAAAATGAATCTGCTCAAGGAACCAACAGCATAGGCCAAATCTGGTCTTGTGCCTTGAACAAGATACAATAATGATCCCATAATACTTTGAAAATGACTACTGCTATTTGATCCATCAGCAGCAGATTCAAGGGAACAAGAGGCATCCAGGAGGCTCGTGCACATGTTACATTCATCCATGCCATACTGTTGTAAAACGTCTTTTGCATAATCTGATTGACTTAAAGAGAGTTGCCCGTTGACTCTGTCTCGTGTAACTGCGATGTCCAAAAATCTTTGCACTGGTCCTAAATTTCTGACAGGAAACACCCTTGACATTTCAGTATCAACCATTTGCAGATACCTTGGTGTATTGCTGAATGCAAGGATATCATTCACAAAAACAGCTAGAATGATAATTTTTCAATGGTAATAGATGCAGCGATCATATTGCGATTGTTCTAAGTTCATCGAAAGAAGGAAGCGATTTAATCTAGAATTCCAATTCCGACTGCCTTGCTTGAGTCCGTAAATAGCCTTTTGGAGTCTACAAACCATATCACTTTGATCCCGTAGTAGTAGTCCCTCCGGCGCTTTCATGTAAATCTCTTCATCCAGGTGTCCATGCAAAAAGGCGGTTTCGACGTCGAAATGAATAATATCGAAATCAAGTCGAGCAGCATGGGCAAACAAGAGTCGAAGACTCGTAAAACGAACTACTGGTGAGCATATGTCGTTGTAATTTACATCACGTATCTGAGAAAAACCTTGAGCTATCAACCTGGCTTTGTATGATACGGCATTATCCGGTCAAATTTTTTTTTTATAGACCCATTTTGAACCTATAAGCTGCAGCTAATAAGCGAAACTATAATGCTTGTCGGCCGGAAGCTTGCATAAATGCCATGTGTGATTCTTAGTAGGTGACGTGATTTCTCGCTTCATAGCATCAACCCACTGATTGCTCTCGGTTGAATTTACAGCTTCAGAGAAGTTCCGTGGTTCGTTTTTTGCAGATATGCTACTATATACTACATAGTCATCCAGCCTTTTCGGGGTCTTGAGTTTTCGTTGAGATCTTCTGGTCGTTTCTTCAACAGCTTCATCAGAACTCTCCTGATCTTCTTCACGCGACATGCTTGCTGGCAAATTTCTAGGACCTATAGGAGCTGTATTAGCCGAAGCAGTTGAATGCTGAGATGGCATATTGAATTTGCTCAGTGAATCCAGAGGTATAAAAGTATACTCCTGTGACGAGCCATGATGTTCATCAAATACAACATCTCTGACGGTGATAACTTTCTTCGAAGTCTCATCCCACAGACGATAGCCCTTGGTGGTAAGACTATAGCCTAAAAATATACACAGCTTAGATTTGGGGTCTAATTTACTTCTTTGTTGCCCCGGTACTAATGCCATAGCTTTGCATCCAAAAACTCTAATATGAGACAGATCAGGCTTCTGATTTGACCAGACCTCCTCTGGCGTTTTACCATTGAGTACTATCCGAGGCGATCGATTTATGATGTATGCTGCAGTTGCAGCAGCTTCTGCCCAAAACTTCTTCGGCAGTTGAGACTCGGACAGCACATACACCTAATTTTTTCAAGGAGTGAACGGTTGATACGTTCAGCTCTGCCATTCTGCTGTGGGTTGTGCGGCACAGTTGTTTGATGACAAATTCCATATTCGTCAAATAAATCCCTCAGCTCCTTGTTGACATACTCGGTGCCATTATCTGTACGAAGAGTTTTTACAGAAATTTTGAACTGATTTGACATAAATTTCAAAAAATCTTTTATGCATGACACAGTCTTGTCCTTAGATGGTAAAAAATAATTGTACAATTTACGTGAGTAGTCATCCAGTAGTGTCAACATATATTTGCATCCTCCAATTGATACCGTATCCATTTGACAAAGATCAGAGTGTACTAATTCCAGCCTGGATGAAGCACGTTTTGTACTTGACTGGAAATGAGCTTTTATATGCTTACCAGACACACACGATGGACAGTAGTTAATAGTCTGAGAAACATCAAAATCAATTCCTGTAGCAGCACCCTTGAGCAATTGTTTAAGATATTGGGTGTTCAAATGTCCCATACGTCTGTGCCACAGTAAAATATCTTGTGAGGACAAGGCAGCGAGAGCACCTACTGAATTTGCTGATGTTTTAGAACCATCACTAATAGAATTTAGTTCTACTTGATATATATTATTATGATTAATCGAACCTTGAAACATAACAAAATTTTGTGGATTCAAAATATCACACTCTGTGTCTCTAAAATTCACTTTGTAACCGTTCTTCGTCATCAGACCAATAGACAGCAAATTACAATTAAGTTCGGGCACATTTAATACACCAGACAAGTTCACATTACACTGAGTTTGTTTGTATTTACACTTGAGCGCGAGGTCTTCTTCAGCCTCTACCTTCGCTCTTCTTTTATTGGCAACTATAACATCTTTGACTTTCAAATTTCGGAGTGCCTTGAATATCGCTTTGTTGCCACTCATGTGCTTAGAAGCACCCGAGTCGAGAATCCAATTGTTGTTTTCTATTCAGCTCTCTTGTGTTGACAAACTTTGAGACAGGAACGCACACGTAGCTTCAGCGTCTTCTTTGTCTTCTAACTGCTCCGACTCAACTGTATTTACATTGGCGCGTTTTCTTTTTGCGCGACAATTCTTAGAAACGTGGCCCATTTTATTACAATTAAAGCAGCGTATTTTCTTAACGTGAAAATTTTCGTTGCCTTTATTTTCAGAATTTACTCCTGCCTTATAATTCGGCTGAGTATAGAAACCTTCCGCGGCTTCTGCCGATACATCCTGTGATTTTACGTGCTGTAGTAACTTGGTCTTGACTAGATCGGAAGTCACCGAGTGTCCCGAACCTTCTAGCGGCAAAGTCAAGGGCTCGTATTGGGGCGGCAAACCAGCTAACATTAAAGCGCCGACTAACTCGGTATTTAAATTCATGCCAATGCATGCTAATTGATCCGCAGTGTCCAGTATTTGACAAACGTAATCCTCAAGAGACGCACAATTTTCCAAACGCGTAGTAGCGACTTTGCGCAATAATGTTACCTTACGCATAATGCCGGAGTCGTTGTACGCTTCATCTAAGGCCTCCTATGCTTGCTTTGCCGAACAGTTGCTAGGTAGATGAGAATATAACCTTGGGTCGATGGTGAGTATGATGCGCGCTCTTGCTTTAGCTAATTTTGATGGATCCTGCGTGATTGTTCCACTTGTCGGTGCTTTAATAGCATCCCAAAGGTCCTTGGATTGGAGCCAAGCCTGTAGCCAAATGGCCCAATGTTTATAATTGTCTCTTTCTGTGAGTCGAGTTACTCCCATCCACGGAGATTGCTGGAGCGCGGCCATTATATACGGAGCTCGCGATTTTATACTTTTACTTAAAACGGCACACTAACGGTATTGCACTTTAACTAGGGTCTGGGCCCATAACCTGATGTAATGGAATGACAGTGGTAAAGGCAATAAATATATGCGTGTTGTAAAAGACTTTTATTAATAACGGCTTGGATGTTGAGAGCTACATACAGCGGTGTGCTTTGCTTGTAAGTTATACTCGGACTGACTGTCGTACCCACTTTAGCAGTGCAACGACACAGAAGTAAAGTACGTTTACACTCCCACTTATAGCTCCCAAAGCACACACACACACACACATAGTGACATACATTATCACGCTCTCATGCAACATAAAATTAATTGCCAATTATAACAAGAGACGTTAATACAGTTAATACAGACTGTATGGACTACTTTACCAATTTACAACTTGAGGTAATTATAGCGACAAATATTTAACAGCTGTACATTTTTGGCTGAGCAGCAACAGTTGGCACATATTATATACCTATAGTGCAACGACAAGAGCACCACATTATGATTGTCCAGTTTACTCACTCAGAATAAAATGTGCCATCCATCGCGTAATGTTATATTACAATAAAGCTGAAACTGATGTAACCAATGATAAATTATTCTCAAGTTAGAATTTGATGCATCGCATAATATGAAACACTACAGATTATGGAAATATATTATGAAATTGACATATTTTCAAATATTATTCTTAATGAACGTTTGCATGTATTTTATACACTGATTTTAATAATGTATGAGTTATCTCTTGTACTCAAAATAATGAATGAATAGTAATAAAATAGATTTCACTTCGATAAGCTTCATCTTTAGCAACACTCTGAATCTTAAATAGCAAGTGTATGAAGTTGTTGACCTATAAGAAGTAATACAGAACAATTTTAGTTTTATTGTACTTCACAATCAAAATCATAATTTGGTTTTTCCTGGGAATTAATAAAACTGATTGACTGAGTGTGATGAAGGATGATAGATACCTACTTATAACCATTAAATATAAATAACTTTCAACTGTGCTGTAAAATTTTCATAGTTGATTGGTCTTTGCAAAAAAAGATGCTTATGTTTTTAAATGCAATGAGGCCAGGCACACTCAGCAGGAAACATTGAGTTTTGTTTCACAGATGTAAGATAACACCTGAAAGTAAAAAAAGGCACAACAAAGTATACATTCACACCTAAAAGATAAACAATAATGATGTGAAGGATACTTATCTGATACCTATTGTACACATACAACCCACATTCACATTCAGTTGAGTATATCTAAGAGCGCACACTTTTGTATGGATATTAATAACTAAATAATTATAATACTGCATAGTTCAGAATTTACTTATCACAAACTGAACTAAGTATGTTTGTGTCAACATGAAGGCTATTTGACACTGCAGTATATATATCTACATGACGCATTTTATCGGTCTGCTAGCTATCGAAGTGCTGCCAACCTTTCAGCACCAATGCAAACAGAATTTCATAGATGCACGTATATAGGTATACTACGATGCGTTCAGACTTTCTACCATGCTAAAGTAGTTATTAACTAAATAATTATGCAAATTTATTGTTAACAGTTTTATTAATTACCATTTTATATACGCACTGGTACTTTAAAGGAACTAAATCGACTATAATACCGAAAAATTTAGGGTTAAAAGACGTCCCAGCGAATCAATGATTTGCGCAAAAATAATAATTTTAAAATTATTTTTCCATTGTAAATACGTTAGTTCAAATTAGTTTGTGGCGTCTCAAGTAGTTGACCACACAATCGCTACAAGTTATTTTTAAGCATACTAATTGGAAAATTATTTATTACTGATTTTGTATATTTTTTCTTGTATTTGAATTTCGCGCTGGTTTGCCTGCCACTTTTGGAAGCGCTGTCCTAACGCGGTCGGAACGAATCAGAGATAAGTAAGGAGATTTCCAGTGCCTATGTTAAAGAGTGTGCCGATGTTTCGGCACTGATTTGAGCGCCAATCCATCGTGGCCAGCAGAGGAACCATGCACACGTTTTCTGTTGGCTGGCGGCTTGTGGGCTCGGCTCGGGGGAGAGGTAAGGGAAGATGAGTGAGGGAGACATAAGAATCTAAAAGTGTGCAACGGTGACGGAGAGAGGAGAAGCTAAACCTATATGTATATGCATACGACGGGCTATATATCTATAGCTATATAGTTGTACACTGCTCGTACGGAAAGAGCTGCGCGTAATACTTTTTTCGCTTTTCCTCCCTGAAAGAAAGATAAGATCTTTAAATGCAGTTGACTATTCGTTCAAGTATGAAAACAAAATCATAATTGTCATGTTATTAACAATTTTTTTTTTCATTTTTCAACAAATGACAAGCTCAAGGCAATTAGTATATTATTTTGCTTCATTAATAAACGAGCGCCTTTATCCCAATAATCCAGAGCGCTCAATTGTTCTTCACTTTTATGATAAGTGAAATTATTGAATAATAAATAAAGGCATTCACCACAACGACACAGTACGCTCAAATATTTTTTGTGCTACGTAATATTATTTACTAATATACTGAACAGCTTTACCCGAACGCCCCATTGCACTTATATCTTTATTTGTTAATTTGTATTTTTTCACCAATAATACAGAGCTTTACGGCTATAATACGATAAAGCTTAAATTAAATCTCAAGCTTCGAAACTTTACGATAAACATATGTAAGTTTTAGTCATCCCATAAACCAAGCTTTGTTAGCTCAAGTGGCTAGAGCAGGAAGGCGAAATTTAGTTTTGCAGCTCCAGGTTCTAATCTCACTCATGCATTTTTTTTTTCTTGTTATTACAAGACTACTTTAAATGTTTCACACTTCTTTTTTATGGATTGCTTACACATTTTGTTTTACCAGTGACCAAAAATATTTTCTTCAATTACTTTTCATGAAAAAGTAATTATCAAAAAAGACGGTCATTACAGCTTTGTTTGTGGTAATACCTGAAATAGGTTATTATGATAAAATGCACGTTCTCTCTATAGTTTTTCCGGGCTGGAGACCGGCATACTAAATGTGGCCACATTACTCGCGCGTTTTTTTTTTTTTTTTTTTTTTTTTTTTTTTTTTTTTTTTTTTTTTTTTTTTTTTTTT